TGCAAATATGGAATAAAATATAGGGTGTTCCATTTGAAAATCTCGAGATAATTATTGGTTTTCAAAATACGTCATCACTTTTGGCAAATTCAAAATTCCTAAATTTTCACCACTGAACATGATAATATACAGACTTTTTTAATTTAAAGCAAAAGTTGCGAATCGAAAACTTCATTCACAACGTTTCTATAGGGCTTTGAAATTAGACAATTTATTGAGGAAGATCGTGTATAAATCCGAAACGGGTGATCTCAGACCCATGTTATAATATATCATTGAACTCGTCTTCTGAAGGACTATCTAAAAATATGATAAAATATAGGGTGTTCCATTTGAAAAAACGTATTTGTGATTGTCACAGACATATGGATCATCCTGTATAAATGACAGTATCTAAAAATTGAATTTCATGAGAAGTTATACAATTGTTATTCTGAACTTTTTTCTGTATATATGATAGTTTACCAGATAAGGGGGTGGCCCAAGTTATGTGGGATACCCTGTACAGAGGGTACCCATTGTTGAAACGGCAATCTGCTTGATAATATTCCATTCAGTATTGATATTGGAAGTAGTTAACGGTATATGAAATAATCTGTGGATTAGAGAATTGAAGGCTACTTGTTTATGAGAAATAAGATGGCAAGAGTTGATTGGGTTAGCGGTAGATGGAGAACTCAAACCTGTCATTCACAATGTCAACTGACAAGTCCAAGAAAGGGAGAGAGTTATTGATAGCTAATTCCATCGTGAAGTTAATGGCAGTGTGAAGTGAGTTCAAAAATTCCAAGAGCAAGTTTACCTCTTGTACTGTACCATCGAAAAGGACCAGACAATCATCTACATATCTGTACCAAAAGTTTATTTTATGAAACAGGGGAAAGTGTTGACGACTCAAGACGCATCTCGCCTTATATTCTTTGTTCATACTACAGGATAGTTTTGTGTCACTTATTGTCATTTATTGAGACATACTTCTCGCATCTCATGTCAAGTTAACCGTCCCCCTTCACCGCTGTAACAAAGCAGGCACAAAGTCAAATAAAATGGGCGCCAGTGACTGCTGAGAAGGTCTCAGGGGATGGGTTCTTGGGCCGAATTTCGTAACAAAAACACTAATTTGGTGAAGCAGCTGATATCCTTTTAATTCGGTGCAAATATCCGCCTTATGGGGTACAATTATCTTCAAACTTGTTCGTATCTAAATAACGAAATGAATCGAGTTAGTCCTATATAACCTCGTTTATGGGGAAAAACAACCAGCAACAGAATAAAGAGCAAAATTAAACTCACCTAAATAACAGGTACATCGGCTAACGCAAAATAAATCTCTTGGTGCACAGAAAGAACCACTGGTTATCAGATACAAATATAGTACAAAGAATCAGAGTACCTACCGCGAAAATTAATTTCTGTAAATCTCTTTAGCATTCCAAAAAGCGCGTGGAGATAAAAAGTGGGACGGCCGAGTTTTTGCCGGTATCGAACGACTTCGCGAATTTAGTTGAAATATAGGAAATCGATATAAGTACGGACATCTGCATTTGAATAGGAGAATCAACTCAATACAAATTGGTAGAAACCTGGATTTCGTTACACCGCTCTACCACGTCATGTTAACCATGATTCTTATGATGCCATTCAACCTCTAATTACCTGGATGAACAAGTGCTGGTACCATCCATAAAGCCCTTTGGGCTATGGGCACGTTGTCCTTCATTGATTGTAACAATGTAAATTCAATTGTATGATATTATTGTCCTTTGTTCACTTCCACATGAGTACATAACCTGAGGTATAATTTCCGTGACTATAAAAAACTTTCTCTTGTAGAAATTGTCTTTTGAAAATATGCTTCTGCTGATGATGGACTATTGATAGACCGAAACATGTTCAGACACTGAAATTCAGATAATAAATTTGTGGAGATGACTCAGTGTGTCTTGCTTATGAATTTATTCACTCCACTTTGGGATACCATGGACTTCTACCATAGATTAAAAAATTCAATGACTACGTTTCTGAATGATATTCTCATAGAAGTGTATGTTCCTTCCTCACAAAATATCAACAAACTAGTTCATCCTATCGGTCTTTGGATATACTGAGTTAGCCTAGGAAAAATTAGTTTATCCTAAAATTGGTTTTGTCCGGTAACGGCATCCGTTTTCATGATACAATAAGGTGTTGAAAAAATATTTCTTTTACACATTTTTTACGATTATGTCGAGAATACTAGCAACATTGTGATGAAATTTTGTATGGATGTGTTCTGAAAGCTGACACACTGCATGCATTTTTTTTTTATATCTGACACTCATAGAGGGCGCTAGTTACACGGTTCGTACCGAGTACTTTTGAACATAACTTTTTCGAGGTGAGATTTTTCAGTCCAAAATCAATGTGAACTTGAACATGCTCTTGGTAAAACTCGATACTGTATACGTTTTTCGAAATATTCCGATTTGAAAATGCTAAAGCAATAACTCTGTTTCTGGTATCAGAATAAGTATTATAAAAAACAATTATCTATGTATTAGGGACAAAAAACATAAATATTATTTTACTAAAAAAAATGGTTGTTCTAAAATTGTTCTTATCCGTCATTCGGTTGCCCCCTTACGAGCAACCCTCAGAAGTCTTCGAAAGACTTGTGCGAGCAAGGAATGACGGGGGCCTTACCTTTTAACGTGTGATCCCAAACACTTTCTTAGGCCATCAGAAAAAGTCTGCGTTCGTGGGTCTCGAACCCACGATCGATACCTCGACGTGAATCGATATTGAAGCATCGAAGCACTGAGGTACGCCGGCCATTACTGCCGAAGTTATCTTTTAAACAAACTCACATCAGAATATATTAAATTGAATTTGACTAAAAACTTCATCTAGTTCGAGTAAGTGTTTAAAATGTCCTCCGTTTCCACGATTACACAATTAGATCCTTTTTTCTAAAGAATGCATCAATCTTCTCAACAGTTGAGGATCAGCTATGAGATCATCGAAGTGATGTTCAATTCTTTCTTGCAGCTCTCGACGTGAATTTACCTCTGTAGCATAGATTTTTTGCTTGATATAGGACCAAACTGTGTAGTCCAATGGATTGAAATCACATGAACGTGGAGGCCAATGAATCGGAGCTTCTGCACCTCTACCAATCCATCGATTCGTATAATGGTTGCTCAACCAATCACGGCACCTTCTATCAAAATGTGGGGAGCTCCATCATGCATTTGGAACACTCACTGATTGAATATTACATGTTTTCGTTGAATTTATTCGATTTTTTTCATCATGACTCTCTGTTCAATTGATAATACTCCCACATTAGAATAATCTCCTTGGTTTTGGTTATCGATAAATAGGTAACAGTCTTTTATAATACTTCCATTTAACTAGCATCCGTGTTATAAAAAAGGAATATTCTCAGATAAATTATGGACATACAAAAATGGATATATATTAATATGAAGCAATACATTGAGAATTCGCATTCTCTATGTGATGAGAATATCTACTCTTTTTCAGTTTATTCAATAGAAAACAACTACTTTCCTGGCTATATGCCACGACGAACATTGAATTATATCCATTGAACACACACGATAAGAGTTCGAAAATAAAATATAAAAAACTTCTAAAATTGAGAATTTGCATTCTCCATCAGACAAAAATATGTATATGCACACATCATTCTGAATACTCAACAGAAAACAACTACTTTCCTGGCTATTTGCCACGTCGAACATTGAATCATATCTGATAAACATTCAAAAGGAGAACATGAAAAATAAAAAATAAAATCCTCCGACATTGAGAATTGACATTCTTCTTCAAATCGGATGAATATTATGATGTATAATGATATAGAAATATAACTTACCAAGATATTCAGCATTGAAATGAAAATTGGAATTTATAGGAGAAGTATACTGGCATAAACTCTGATCTTGATGAGCTTGAAAACTTTCAAAAATAATCATTTATATCAGTGATTTTGGAAATATTATCTCTCACACACAGGTTATATGACTTTATTGCAATGAATCCATTTCGGATTTCTGAATCCTCATCAGTAACCATGATGTCCACTTATTCTTACAGCCATTCTTCATCATGATATACACAATTTTCATCTCTCTATAATACAACTAAAACCAGGAAAGTAGTTGTTTTCTATTGAATAAACTGAAAAAGAGTAGATATTCTCATCACATAGAGAATGCGAATTCTCAATGTATTGCTTCATATTAATATATATCCATTTTTGTATGTCCATAATTCATCTGAGAATATTCCTTCTCAACACTTTCATACCCAATCAGGGGGTTCAAACTTGAACGATGGAAACTTGTGATTTTCATAGACCTCTAATCGCAGATTCGTGATAGGGTCTCAATTCAGAATTTCTTTCCACGCCCTGTATGATGAATGTCAATTTATCATACACCCAAAATCAGTGTTATACTTCAGCATTTACAAATCGAAATACCCCGAAAAAGGTACACTGTATCAAGGTTTAAGAAGAGCACATTTTTAGTGTAGAATTGAATGGTGTTCAAGTTTGCATTGAATTTGGACTGAAAAATCTAACCTCAAAAAAGTTATGTTTTAAAGTACTCGGTACTACCCGTGTAACTAGCGCCCTCTATGATTGTCAGATATAAAAACAAATTCATGCCATGTGTCAGCTTTCAAAACACATCCATACAAAATTTCATCACAATGTTGCCAGTAGTTTCGACATAATTGTAAAAAATGTGTTAACAAAATATTTTTTCAACACCTTGCATCTTAAAAACGGATGGCGTTACGAAATTTTCTTACTGAGCAAACCCAACTTATTTTGCAATGTTCTACCTACCCTAGCAAGGATGTTAGGTTTTGTTGAAGAGATTTGAAAATTAATGAACCGATTGTTGGTTGTTTTTATTTTCAGGGTGGGTTAATTAGTACCTATATTAGAATTCATCACAAATCTCAATTGTATTGCCCTAACTTACCAAAGTGTGGGCCTGTGAGTAATAGTTAGAAGTGTGATCCCCATGTCGATAGCACTTTGATAGATATGGCTCTCAACATCGATCGATACTGCTGATGTGCACTCGTCCAGAAGGGCATATTTTGGTCTATAAATCAAGACAACTCATTATTAGTGTACTTAACAGCTAATAGCTAACAGAGATCGACTCACCTATGATAGAATAACCTTGCGACTGCCATTCTCTGTTTTTCACCACCTGATAAAATATCGGTCCAATCTTTAACTTCATGGAAAGTATCTCTTTCTACTATGTGATCTAGATGAACCAATCTCATGATTTTCCTCAAGTCTTCTTCTGTGATCTGCTTGTTGATCATGTCAGCATAGGTGTCAGGATAAATAACTTGGTCTCTTAAATTACCTGGAACAAGAGGTTCTCTGATTATTATTGGCATTGATTATGATGACATAAATGAACATGGTGTGATTTTTCAGTCCCAACTCGAATTTGATAAACATATTTCAGCAAAAACTCGCAACACCCAGAAGCTACTCGGATTTCTCAAACGTATGACACAAGAATTCGTTAGTTTGAAAACAACATAACTGCAATATCATTCCATAGTGCGCTCATAGTGTGATTGGAATACTGCAGCATAATATGGGACCCGTCCACATTAAAACAAACAAAAATTATAGAAAGGATTCAGTACAAATTTTTCGCCTACCTACATTACGAAAAAATTTGGTTATGGTCCGGGTCACTCATCTTATGAACCACACAGTAAAGCATTTCTCATAACATAAGTTGGAAAATAGACGAACTCGACAAAAAATTATGTTCATTTTCAAATTACTAAGTGATAAAGTGTCAGATTCGTATCTTCTCTCAAAGTTAAAAATATATGCTCCATCAGATATGATTCCCCCCAGAAACACGTTCTTTCGCATTCCCAGGCAACCAGATGACGAATGATCATGTCACTGTCACATCCCTTATTGGTGATTTTTCGTCAGAGACGGCACACACCAATTTATGACGTCACTATGACGAATTTTTCATTACGTGATAATCACGTCATCATCTCGACGTCGAGTGAACGTCACTTAGAAGGGTAAAATGAGACGTCAGTTTCATGACGTTGCAGGAACGTCCTGTCGACGTCCTTGTTTCCCAGAGTTCATCTAAACCATGTATACTCACATTATCATGTGAAACCGTTAGGTTTGTGACGTACCTATATATACAGGATGGACATTTTCAGTGTCGAAAAGTTTTCAGAAAAAATCGTTTTTTCATCGATTTTACACACAAAATATAGAAACATTTACGTCTTGGTAATTTTATATATATGCTTCTAACGTCGATACCTGAGCTATATATGTATATATTCAAATGATAATATAGGTGCTCCTATATTGAAACCGTCACTTTATTGACGTATCTATGACGTCTAAAGATTACGTCGGTGTAACGTACCAATTTGGTGAGCTTTGTCATTCAGAAAATTTTTCAATACGCTGCTCCCTAGATTTTTGTTGGGTGACAATGCATGAATATACGTTACTCAACAAAGTGAAGCTAAATTGGCTAACATCCTGTTCATTGCTATCAAACTATTCTTAGTTTGCTTACATCTCGCCGACACAAACTACATAATTTTTGATATGACACCGGAGGGACTACCAAGCAGGCTCAACAATGCATAATCAATCGCTAACAACAAAAGTACATTCTAGGGACTTTCCAGGGACGTTCCTAATGTTATACTAGAACATCCCCGGGATATCCTTTGTCAGGAGAAAGTACATACTAAGGACGTCCCAGGGACATCCACTGGCTGACGAAAAATGCATTCAAGGGATGTCCTCCTGGTACGTCCCTGGGATGTACCAAGTACGAAGAAAGGATATCCCTAGGACGTCCCAAGGATATTCCAGGGACATCCCTTCGACAAAAAAAATGTAGTTCGATTAGGGATTGAAACCGGGACCTTTAGCTTATCAGGCACGCACCTTACTCAATTGGCTAGTATGCCTTCTGAAGATTTATGTACTAAACAGATTCATAAACAGGACTAAATTACAGCAACCTGAATAAATATAACTTTGTTATAATTTGGGTTCAATTATTATCATTCTTGGGTGTTTAAAACTACGGGGCATCATGCATTTACGATTTCTGTCTGCGAAAAATCATTTCTTCAGAAGTTCTGAGACATATTATTTATTTTCATTACAATTATTTTCTGGAAGAAAAACGAACATGTTCAGAAAAATTCAACTCAATATTTTGATGAAACTCAATGACGCTGATGTGAATGGATATCAGATATTCCATGGACACGACAACCACTGCGAGCCATCACCTGAATGCCCCAATCATGTCCTTGTATCGCGGAAAAAAAAGGACGTACCTAGGACGTCCCTGTGTTGTTAGGAATATTATATGTCATCAGAATCCAGTAGTGATTATCACACCATGTTCGAGGATACTTTTTTACTCGCCATCACCAAATTTGAACTTCATTTTGACGTCATTTCGACATCAGTCCGACGTCACAGTTTGGTGAGTAAATGACGTCAATAAACGTGAGTAATACGACATCATTGGGCTGTGACTTATTCACGTCATTTATCACGTCATACGACGTCAACTCCTGACGTCACCTTGGTCATTCAACTGACGTAAAAATACGTCACTGAAACGTCATCTGGTTGCCTGGGACATATACCTAGTATATAAGTAGCCCACTAGGATAGAGCATCTAGTTTCAATCTTCTTCTGAAGTTGCTAACATAGTTACTGGAACACGTGTCGTGGTGTGAAAAATTGGTTTGGTTAGTGGTAAAAGAGTGTCTAGTAAATTTAAGTATGTGGCCAAACTTCAGATTATTTGGGTGATTCAAAGACGAAAAGTATTAACATAGCTCCTGAAATGCTCCGTTCTCAAGATACAGAGTTGAAATTGGGGGTATTGAATGTTGTTTCTCATGATTACTTTGAATCAATTGCGAAAAATTCGTCTTGTACATAAATTTCCGAAGAAAACTCGAGTACTCAAAAAGTTTCCGGCAATAATTCATACTCTAGGAATATCAAAAGTGAATATTATTGACTATTTTAATGTTGTTTCATGTTTACTTGAAATTTGGTATGAAAGATGAAATTGTATATTTTTGATCATACTGAATTGCTTAAAAAACTATCTTGTTTTATTGATAGCTCTGATATCGGAAACACCCTAGATTAATACAAGATGTAGCACATAGAATGTACGATTTTGTGAACATTGTATAGAATATACAGGCTGATTCACGGTGAATGGTACATTAGATGTTTCCGGAGAACACACCGTTGGATTTTATTGAAAATTCGGTTCCTCGGATAATTAGTTGTGTTCAATCGACCTGAAATATTCGCAGCGCTGCGACGTTGCCGCTCATATTGAAAAGTAGCAACAACTTTGATTTTTTCAATGGGACACCCTGTATATCATTCCGTTTTCATATTCTTCCTGAAAAGCTAATTTCATCGATCTATCACAATTATTGGGGTCTAGCGGAAATGATAATAGAGATAAAGGGTGTGAAAAATCGAGATTTTTCAACTTTGAGAATTTTTTAGTCGAAACTATTCATAATAGGCTCATATCACAAAAAAAATTCCATAATTCGATAGAACTCACCCAAACTAGTTCACCACCGCAAACCGTCTCTTGCTGTGAGCTCCCTACGTTTCATAAAAAATTATTAAAATCCCCGATTTTTCGGACCTCTGAAAACGAGGCGATGATGTGACGTCAAAACCCTAATACTGAAACAAGACTATTCCAGACAGAGATGAATGAAACATGATTTCTGACAGAGTGAATTAGCGCGAGATCACAGTTGAAAGAATTAATATATCAGTTGCCTCAGTCTCCGTCGGGCGTTTGGTATTTTCTTTCAACTATGGCGAGATGAGGTTTCTACGTCATGAGAGGGTCCGTTTTCAGAAGGTACTATTATTTATGTCTGAAAATAAAACATTCCAGTTAATTTTCCGATCGAATTATGTCGTCAATCATCATTTATGTATAAAAGGATCATTATAAACATGGTTTGATTTAAAAGTTCTACTGAGGTGTACACGCCCATTCATCAAAACGGTTTCCATGTCCCAATCCTTACTTTTCACGTAATTTCGATTGATATTCAATTGAAATAGATACAGGGTGGTCAAAAACCTTAATTCTGAACCACCCTGTATTTATTTCAATTGAATATCAATTGATAGTGAACAAAATGTTAGGATAAGGACATGGAAACCATTTTTACCAATTATGAATACTTTCGACAAGAAGAAGTGTTAAAGGTCAATGAAATAGGTTCTTCAGAAAGAATCTGAAAATAAAATAATATACCAGGTGTCCCATTAAAAAATTTAAGTTGTTGCTACTTTTGAATATAAGCGGCAACGTCGCAATGCTGAGAATATTTCAGGTCGATAGATGTTGGAGATAATCAGTCCACTGTGTATGTAGATAAATATGGAATATGAACCAATGTGATTATTATCGTTGAATATCTAGAAATGTCGACAGTGCAGCGCACGAGGGCCACGGGCAAGCAGTCGAGTTCGGGAAAGACACTTTACGCATGAGTTAGGAACAATAGCTTTTCTACAAGCGTAGGAAATTCATTGATTTGTTCAATTAATTATTCATTCATAAAGGAACAACTAACAAACGAAATATATTCTCTATCTACTGATTATTAGTAATAGCTATTGTGAACTTACAGTTTGACGCATTATGTAAAGGTTCATTGCGGAAGCCAGCAGGCCCATAAAGTGTTTGGTCTCTAGGTTTCAGACACTTCTAGGAAATGAGCCAAAAAAACTTCTTCTTTATTCGGTATTTTCATTTCTCAATTGTTGCACCATTCAATGGAACACGTGTAAATTCTCATACCTTTCTTAAGGATTCGTTGGCAATGACGCATCTGTATCGCATCCCTATAGCTGGAAGTTTTTGATCACATTCGAGGTTTGATTGGCATGACAACAATAATCGTTTCCTATCAGATCAATCCAAATCTATAGGGGGATTTTTATAATAATCAATTTTTAGTTTTCAATATTTCTTAATTTTCACAATAAATAGTACAATTTGATGAATGATTCTGAACATAAATACTTAATACTGCAACAAACGAACTCAAACTCTCATATTCCATCACCTATCATCTTATATTTTGTGCGAAATAAATTCCCGCACTAGTGTGGGAAAATGACACTTCCCAAACTTAATTGCGTGCGGGTATAGCGTGATTCACGGACGCTTGTAGAAAAAATGAATGATTATAGTTTTCAAAACCGATCCTCAATTTTCGTTCAATCCGCATGACTAATAAATTAGATATATTAAGAGGATTGTTCAAACTGAGACACGCTGTAGCAATGTAAAATGATATTTATAATCGAAAATGTGAAGTAATCCAGTGTACCATTTGAAGATCGAAAATGGAGGAGGTACCTACCATTATAAACGAAAAGACATCAATAGCAAATTCATTTCAGGTGTTTTGAAATTCCAAAATGTTATCTTCAAGCACTGAAAACTCACAGATATTCAATGCTATTGGTGAATGAAATGAATTACCGAATATTGGATAATACTCACCTATCACCATATAAGGCCTCTGTGGAATATAAAACATGGCATTCTTCGGTGTGTACAATTCACCTCCGTAAATAGGCCACAATCCACTCAATATTCTGAATAAACTAGACTTTCCACAACCATTCGGTCCTGTGATGAGCAAGTGTTGTCCCGGCTCCAAGTGAAGACTCAGAGAAGGACATACTATATCACAGTTTGGAGTGACGATAGGAACATTATGCAAAATAATCTCGTTATTTGTTGACTGGATCATTCTACCTGAAACAAAAAAGTTGTTGAAATAAAATAAAACAGATTCTGGTAGAGATTGGAAAACTATTTATGTTTTTTTCATGTTCTGGTTCCCACGAAAATGGATATCCTGTAATGTTCAGATAACATCGTGAAAACCAAGGGAAAAAAAGTAGGAATTGGTGTTGTTCTTGAATTTCTGAAGTTAATATGCCTCTGGGAACACCTCCCTTGGCAATGTGCTCCAGAGCCTCGCTGTTCGTTAGATGAACGAGTCTTTGGAAAGAGATGTTCTGCAGGTCTCGAAAGTGACCACGAAGGGCTGCGAAGCCTCTACTCGACGGGTTGATCTCGCGGGGACTGCCAAGGAAGGAACAATTGTTGATATTTCGAAAGACCATCGTCCATGAAGATATCTTTAAAATAGAGCCAGATCGCCAACTTTTTTACGGTGTTCCAGAGAAGTGAGTGAGTTTGTGAGTGATGCATCACCCACGAGAAGAATTGTTCTTTTTTGGACAGAATCCAACAGTTTCAGGATATGTTTGGGTGCTGCACTCCAAATATGGGAACAGTATTTCAGGACAGGTCGTATCTGTGCCTTGAAGATCATAACCAGGTGACTAAAAGTGAAATAGTTCCTGGCCCGAAACACAAAACCAAGTTTTTGGGGTGCACTTTTAGCAATTGATCTCACGTGATTTTCCCAAGAAAGGTTATTGCTGATAGTAATCCCAAGCATCGAGATCGATGTCTTCGAAGGTATGGTTACTCCTGACAAGCTCATAATGGGCACAGTGAGATCGGCTCTTTCAGTGAAAAGGCATGCATGTGTTTTGTTTACATTGAAATCTACCAAGTTATTGGATCCTCATTCGAGAATTGTTGCCAAGTCCATATTTATGTAGTCAACATTTCTCCCTTGTTCGTTTCTGATTTGCCTGGCTGGAATTGGAGCCCTGGGAGAGAAGGCGGAATGGAGGGTAGTATCATCCGCGAAGCTGTGTACTGAACATGTAGTGAAATAAATACAAAAAGCTCAAAGTCATATCCACACAATGTTCAGAAAATGAACAAAGGTAAATTTTGGGAGGAAAACAACTACATTCCTGGCAAGTGATTCTTTCCTGAATGTCTATTGATTTCGAATGAGCCAGGCCATGCTAAAAACCTAAAGACCGGTTTCGACCTCTTTGACTCTCATCAGTGCAGTGTGGTCTCGAGCCAGCAGTCCCAAGACCGCCGACTCAGCGTAGCCCAGCCAAATAAAACCCAAGTCGGCATTATATTCCCCCAGAGGCGTCTTTCATCGACAATATGAAAGCAACGCCATCTGAGTAGAACAGAAGGAAAGAATCACTCCACAACTGAAATTTCCATACGTTAGTGGCTGGTTACCCGACTGGCGTAATTTCAACTACGAAATAGCCACAATGGTCAAAGTGGAATGAAATGTTGAATAAATACAAAAAGCTCGAAGTCATTTCCATACGGAATGTTTAATTGAATTAAATGAACGAAAATGGTAGATTTCGGGAGAAAAACAACTACTTTCCTGGCTAATGCCACGCAGAACATTGATACATCCTTCCGAAATCTTTGAGAATTGTGGCTATTTCCGTATGGAAATTCCAGTTTTGTAGTGATTATTTCCTTCTGTTCTATACAGATGGCGTTGCTTTCATATTGTCGATGAGAGACGCCTCTGGGGGAATATAATGCCGACTTGAGTTTTGTTTGACAAGGCTGAGCTGAGTCGGCGATCTTAGACTACACTGCACTGATGAGAGTCAAAGAGCTCGAAACCGGTCTGTGGTTGTCTAGCGTGGCCTGGCTGAATCGAAATCAATAGGCATGCAGGAAAGAATCACTTGTATCAGTATTCGTTTATACGAGTCGATGCATAGATTTCGGGAGGATGTAATTCAATGTTCTGCGTGGCATGAGCTAGGAAAGTAGTTGTTTTTCTCTCGAAATCTACGTGTGTAAATGACTTTGAGCTTTTTGTATTCAATTAACTTAGCGGTTATTGTCTATTCACGGTTGGGTGGACATATATTTAGTATATAAGTAGCCCACTATGAGACACGTGTCGAGGTGAAGTGTATTTATGACATGTTGAAGATGAGTCTGTTAGGTATTCAATTTGAAGATAGACATGCATCTTAGCTGCATTCCCGATGACAGCACCTCTGTAAATTTCTTATGAAATTTTCAAGATTCGACAGAAATACAAAACTGTTGCATTTTTTTGACTGAGCATTAGCTGCATTACTCTTCTACAGAGTGATTCATTCAAGAATGGAAAATTTCTGAACTACAGATAATAAACACAAAAATAATGAAATTTAGCCCAATATGCCTGATGAGAATGTTACTGGTTTAGAAGATACAGGGTGTCCTAGGGAAAGATTTTATTTCAAAATTTCACAATATCTCTGTTGGTTTCAACAGCATGAACATAAAATCTTGTATTTCTAGAATTTCTGACATGAGGAATATAAATTTGCAACTTATTTTGTGATTGCTCATAGAGGACTTGATAATTTACATCATATCTTCTATGTCAATCAATTGATGATCAAAATAAGTTGAAAATCTGGAAGCTCGGAAACTTCAACGGTTTTTGTGTTATTCGCTCTTGAAGAGATATATGTTCCAATTATAACATTTTAATGATTTTATTCAACTAAGAATTGAAGATCCCGGAACTACAGATAGTAAACACCCAAATATAAAGATTAAGCCTAACATGCCTCATAAAAATATTGCTGGTTTAGGAGATACAGGGTGGTTAAGAGAAGATATTCTGAAATGAAATCTTAATGAATAACCATGTATATACACTTACCTTTGGCCAGTGGTTGATTTCCCCTGAACTCAATCTCAAAATCTTCTCTCTTCTCCTTTTTAGCTACCAATGTCTTGTGATAAATCCCCTGACTGGCTTCTTCTAGGACAGTGAACATATTAGCCACCCTAGCAGTATGGCCAGCCAATTCGACGATATCTTTATAGCTGCTCATGAGTCTCTCAACTGCATTGGAACCGGTGATGAGAAGGTTCTTAGCTGTCGTGAAGTACTCGGTCCTGGAAGTAATTTCACTCATTTTACCACTAGCCCCTGAATTATTGGTTGATCGACAAAAATCATTTCAAGTTTCGTGATTTTTTCTCTGATTATTTTTGAGACCAAAGATGATAGATAGACAGCGGCGGATCCAGACGAAGTTTGAGGGGGAGGGGCATAGAAAGTCACGGCTCAATAAGGTTAGCGCGGAAGAGAAATTATATGAGACAAATGCGTTTTCATTAAAAAAACTGATCCTAGTAAACATCGAAATTACTGGTATGAAAAAAGTTTGATTCCATCAATGTTTGTAGAATTCTGTAATAAATCATATTGGATAAAAGAAGTGAATGAAAAAATATTTCTGTTGAAAGACTGGAATTTGTTTTCTTTATTTTATATATTTTTATTTTTGTATGTTTCATTTGTTTTATTTTTGAAGAGAAATATTTTCATTCACTTTTGTACCCGTCTTCTATTCTTCTGCCTAGCTTATCTTTGGATGATATCATCAACATTCAGACTGCTGCAGATGCCCCCGTGAATATGCATCAATGGCATTAAACCAGTCTTGGACCAGTCTTGGGCCATTCTGGATCTTATCCAATTTTTCAGCTTTCTGAGTGTTGAAAAACTTCTTTCAGAAGATGCAACACTCACAGGTAGGCAACAAAATAGTTCCAGAAGGATGTTTATGTTAGGAAACAAATGTTTGTTACATTCCTTCAGGGCAGTTATACCATTGTTTGGTATATTTCGCTTAGTATCCCTCATTTTCTTCCATATATACATTTCAGAAACGATCTTCTGGAAGGACATTTCATGATTCTCCCCAAAACTGTTCGAGTATATTTCCCATACCTCATAAATTTCCTCATCTGTTTTGTTTTTAGTTATTGAGATGGCACACAAAGGTGAAGCTAGGTTGTATAGATTCAATTCATTTTCTGATATTCGTTCTTTCAGATCAATAATAATACTGGGATAAAAAAAGTTATTCTGTAATGGTCATTCACTGAGGAAACCGTAGGATTTGGTCTATGAACCATTCTCCCTGTTATTCTTGGCATCGAAAATTGAACATTCAGTTCTTCCAATTTCTGTTTGGCTGCATTCGAAATACTTAGATAGTAGGTATTTAGAATATCATCCCTTTTATCTGGAAGCGTCTGAAGAGTGATTCTAACAACATCGTCAGCTTGTTTTTTGTTTGGAGCAAATTACTAAGTGGCAGTGTTATCGAAAATATATTTGCCAAACAGCAGAGTGTAATTACAAATTCGCAATTCCTTAAAGCTGTTGCGAAGTTTCTAGCTATAAAGACATACACTAATTTTTTCATATATTCAAAATACCTACACTTTTACATGTCCATGAGGTGCTCGAGGGGGGGGGGCATGGCCCCATGGCCCCTCCTCTGCATCCGCCCCTGTAGATAGATAGATTTATTCATGTTACTACACATGATATCAACTAGGAGAAGCCAATACTCAAAGTGGAATGCAACGGTCACAAAGACAGAAACTCGAAGTCATTACCACAAAAGATCATGAAATGAACGAAAATGATAGATAACGCGAGAAAAACAACTACTTTCCTGGCTATATGCCACGCAGAACATTGGATTATATCCCCCCGGATTCTATGTAATAATTCGTATAGACGAATAAAATCGCAAGTGTTTCCTTCCTAAACGCCGAGCTGCGCCTAAGTGGTTCAGGAACGCGTGACTACCTGCAGACCGGTTCCGAGCTGTTGGCTCTCATCAGTAAATCAGCTACAAGAGAACCAGACCAATTTTCAAAACTCTTGAGTCCTTTTTCCTCAGATTCTACGGAAATTCCGGGATGCGCAGCGGAAAGCCCCATAAGAGCCCATGTAAAACAGATCAGATTTTTCAGTAGATCTACGAACTTTTTGAGCGAATTTCAAGGTTCATTCTACAATTTTTGGTCCAGTCCAAGGTCATCCATGTCCGACCAGTGAGAACGGCGATTCTGGTTCTGCAGACCTCGTTGAAAGCAAACTCTCTCAAATCGGATTGCTTGAAGGGCCCTAAGGGAAATGTATCTGCTTGAATTTTACGAAAATTAATTTTTAAAGGGCTTAATTTTCGTGAAATCCAAGCAGAGGCCTTTCATTTGATATACAACAACCTATATTTGGCATAATATACACTATATTGCCCTTGAAGCCCTTCAAGAATTAATTTTCGTAAAATTCGAGCAGATACATTTCCCCTAGGGCCCTTCAAGCAATCCGATTTGAGAGAGTTTGCTTTCAACGAGGTCTGCAGTACCAGAATCGCCTTTCTCACTGGTCAAAGATGGATGACCTTGGATTGGACCAAAAATCGCAGAATGAACCTTAAAATTCGCTGAAAAAGTCCGTAGATCTAGAAAAAAATCTGATCTGCTTTACATGGGCTCTTATGGGGCTTTCCGCTGCGCATCCCGGAATTTCCGTAGAATCTGGGGAAAAAGGACTTTTGAAAATTGGTCTGGTTCTCTTGTAGCTGATGTAGCAATTTTAATTAACACTATATTATGCAGTCTATGAAAATTGCTACTAGATATCACTTTTACATATTGATCAGTGACAAACTCTACCATTGGAATAAAACTTGTGCTTATAATTCCTTAGTCATTTCGAAAACAAACACAACTTATCAATAACAGGGAAATCCTCTATCACCGATCTATAGCAGATAGTCAATA